TAGTTCCCATTATGATCCTTGTAGTTTTCACTAAGTTCCTTGAGTATCTTTATTACTTTGAACTCTATGTCTGATAAATTGCTTGCCTCCATTTTATTTAGCTCTTTTTCTGGAGATTCTTCCTTTTATTTCATTTGGGGATTGTATCGTTTCTCCACAAGCTGTTTCTTTGTTTTTGTTTCTGTGTATTAGATCGAAATCCTATGATTCCCAGTCTTCGTGGGGTGGTCTTTCAAAGAAAGTATCCTGTAGGGCCCAGTGGTACAGTCTCTTTTATCTCCTGAGTTGAATGCTATGTCCCTTGTGTGTGTGTTTTGGGGGCTCTTCTGTTTAACTGGGTCTTGGTAGATGTTGGGCCATTTGTGGGTAGGATCCATCTTCAGGTTGCCTGACTGTGAGGCTGTTTTATAGGTGCTGATCAAATAAAACCAGAAAGAAAACAAAAACATACCAAGGAGCCCAACCAAAAAAACAACTACAAAAGAAAGAGAAACATGAACAAGAATAATAAAAGAAGAAAATTATAAGAATATAATAAAAAAATGAGGTGAAAGAATATGAAAGGAAAGAAGGGAGAGAAAAAATAAGAATAACAAATAAGAAAAACAGTGAAAAAGAAATAAAGGAAAAAATAAGGGAAAGAAAGAAAAATAGAATAAACAAGGAAAGAGAAAAATAAGAAATGTGAAAGATAAGAGAGAGAGAAAATAATAGCAAAGCAAAAATAAAATAATGACATAAAAAAAAACAAAGTGGAGTTCAACTAGGTAGAGTTTAATGCACTCTTGGGATCTCCTTTGTATACTTCTCTTATTTTGTCTGAGGCTGACTATTTTGTATGTTGACTCGGGACCTCCTAGTAGGGACTTTGGTGCTAGCCAACATTAGAAGCTGCCCACATTTGGTTCTCGGCAACCTATTTGAAGCTTGAAGTGATCCCCCTTTGTGGCTGCCTCCACTGAGCTTAACTGCAGAGGAGGGACCAGGCTGCTCTCCAAGGTCAGCTTTATGGCAGTGTGGGCCTCAAAGGTGGGTCAGCAAACATCCCAAGGCACTTTGGGATCCACCTGGTCCCACCTATTAATGCCCACTTGCTATCAGATTTAGTCACTGAAAAAAACTGTTTCTGAAAGGGCTATTGGCAAAATCAGGAAGATGGGACCTCTGTATCTCCCATGAGGGGGAGGTGTCATTCAGACTTCAGGGAAGATGGTGGGTGTGTTCCTCTATCCCAGAGCCACACACCTGAGACTCTCCCAGAATACAGTGTAACCATGGTTCTCAAACTTAATTCATTCCAGAAGGCTGTTTGACAAGAGATTTGTTTGAAAACCAAACCATTTTTTCTCCATTAGAAATAATGTAAATCAAATTACTTCGTTCCAGATCCCCAAATGATTTCCTGTTTTAACCATATTATACAGAGTCCATTTCTACAGTACTGTATAATCTAGAAACAAACACTTCTTTTCTTATTGTATTGAGCCACCCCTTACTAGCCTTAAATGAATCACTGTCAGCACTCATTCCAGGGGTGCAGTATTTACTTTTTTACATATCAGTGCCTCCAAAACGCTGTCATAGGCTAACTACTTTTCTTTATCCAAATCAACAACAGTTTTTCTACTTCTTCAATTGCCTATGATCTTTGTTTGGTGAGCACTTTTACGCCCTTAGCAACATCAGCACATCTGATGGCCTCCTTAGGTTTTAAAATTGCGCTAATCATCCATTTCACCAACAACAAAAGCAAAACAAACAACAAAACATTACATGAAAATATTCACAGCACAGTATACTTGACTCTCATTCTTTCCTTTGTGTCTTGCAAAACGCTTTTGATCACGCACAAAATTTGTTTGACACTCAAGACATGGTTTCTCTGAACAACTTGGTCAAGAACCAAATTGTTTGAGTTGGGAGACATTTGAGAACTGAGGTTAGACTGTATTTCCATAACCTTGCAGGGTGAATCCACTCATAGGCAGATCAACTCAAGGGGTCTGCTGGAAGTCAGTAATTTCTATAAGTTCTTTCATGGCAGCCAATGGGGTCTGCTGAAAGTCGGTAATTTCTATAAGTACTTTCATGAGGGGGAGTGCCAGTCAGGTTCCCAGGAAAGTCTGGAGAATGGCCTCTCCCCAAAGCCAGTCACTGATGCTTCCTGAGTCTGACCAGGCCTGTAGGTTGGGCCTCTGCAGCTGAGAGGAGGGGCTTGCACCTCTCAGGAAAAAATGGCTACTGCAGAATTGGGGAGGATGACTGAGCACAGGTATCCTGGAAGCTACTCTCCAAGTCTCTCTCTAATGCTTCTAATCCCAGACTCTTCTCAGGCGACTCTAGTCCGCACAACTCTCCCTCCACAAAAACCAGGGTGAGTGGCTTTGAACTAAAATTCTGTGATCTGACCCTTTGAAAAACAAAGTGGCTTCCTCTGTGGAGAACAGTATGGAGTTTCCTCAAAAATTAGAAAAGGAACTCCCATTTGACCCAGTGATCCCACTCCTGGGAATATATCCTAAGAAATCAGAAATACCAGTCAGAAAGAATATATGCACCCCTATGTCCTCAGCAGCGCAATTTACAATAGCTAACATTCGGAAACAACCCAAGTGCCTATCAGCACATGAGTGGATAAAAAAAGCTGTGCAACATTTACACAATAGAATACTATGCAGCTATAAAAAGGAAAGAACTCTTATCATTGGCAATCACGTGGATGGATATGGAGAGTACTATGCTAAGTGAAATAAGCCAGTGAGAGAAAGACAAGTATCACATGACCTCACTCACATGTGGAATCTAATGAACAAAAGAAACTGACAAACAAAACTGATCCAGAGACATAGAAGCATGGTACAGACTACTGAACCTCAGAGGGAAGGCAGGGGAGGGCGAGTGAGTGGGAAGAAACCAAACAAAGAATTTATATGCATATATGCATAACACATGGACAGAGAGAATAGGGTGATAAAGGCCTGGGCTGGAGGACAGGAGCAGGCTGGAAGAGGTCAATGGGGGAAAAAGGGGAGCATATGTAATACTTTCAATAATAAAGATTTCAAAAATAAAAATATATAAGTAAATAAAAACAAAGTGGCTTTATCTCCAGCAGGATCCATCTCCCCCTGCTGGTAGAAGCCCTGCTGCTTTTCACTGATGGATGCTATGTGGGCAGGTGTTCCTGGCTCTGGCTCTGGAAGCTTGAGAGCCCAGCCTGGTGTACAGGCCTCACTACTCTCAGGGGAAAACCCCCACAGCTGAGATATCCCTCCTCAACTTGGCCTGCCCTGTGGGAGTGGCGCCAGCCCCTCCCCAAACCACAACCTCCCTATCGCTCTCGAGGTGGTTTCTGCCCTTCCTTCTTTAAAAGTCTTCTCTTCAGCTAGTCTTCAGTTGATAATTCAGAGTGAATATTCCCTAATTTAGTTTTATTGCCAGTTAGGCTCTGGGAGGAGTTACAAGAATAATCTGCCACATGATGCCATCTTCAAACTCCCAAGCCTTCATTTTCTAAAACAACCATCTTCCTCAGGGTCTTTGTACTGGCTGTTCCTTCTCCCTGGGAAACACTCCCACTTAGTGTCTCACTCAGTCTTCATTGAGGTTTGTGTTAAAGTGTCAAACGTTGGCAAGTCTTGGCTAAACTCTATATAAAATAAC